CTTGCGGCTGGAGTTGCTGGATCTGCCGAGATCTTCCGCCACTGCGCGGATAACCGCGTCGATTATGCCAAGCTCCGGTAGTGCCTTAGCCGCCTCCTTTGCAGCAAGCGCTTCCCTGCCACGGGTAGAAATGCACGGGTGGGGGTGTTAGAATTCGCACTGCGACATACCACGTTGCACATCTCATACCGCAACAACACCACCACAGCAACGGTTTACCTGTGTGCGATGCAGTGAGAAGCCACCACGTGCGGGATCTCCAGTCGAAGACGCCCAACGAGGCCCGTGTCGTTGCCTATCATCACAGGTGCCCCATCGGTGCTGATACCCGCCACCTTCTCCAGCGGCAGGCTAATACTGTCAAGGAATCCCGTGATCTTAGCATAAAGAGATGCTGCATCACACTTCTCGACGGAGAGGTTAGTCAGAAACTCTGTGGTGACGGCATGCTCACGCAGAAAGGTTACAAACACAATCATGTGCTTCCCTTTGACGGGGTCCGTACTCTCGTCGCAGCTCAGACCAATGAATGGACTCGAATCAATGAATTCTCTCTGGCGCGCACGAAGGTATGTCGCTATTGCGGCGGTGATCTCTTCAAATCCGTACCTGCACGGGCATCAACGCGTGTGGTTAGTGATAGCTTCACGTATATCACATCCCCCGACGATATGTACTAGAGCAGTGTCACTTACGTCGTATAGTAGGCACCATAACTGCTCTTTGGGAAGCCCGGTGTGCCACGCTGCGCTAGATGTTGGACGAGGTCGACGTACATCTCGATCGGGGCGTCGGACTTAGCGATGAAGAGTGCCGTCTCAAATAGCGCGAGCAGGCGCTCCTTCTCGACGTCTTTCACCTTCTTGTTGTCGTCAATCCGGCGGTTAGCTTTGAGCGCTGCCTCGGCTGTCCTCTGTCTGCGCAGAGCGCGACGGTGCTTCCTTGTGCGTTGATGCTTCCGCATTGCCTGGGTCTGCACATCGGTCGCCCCTTCTCCTTTGGCGCCGAAGTTCGTGCCCACACCGCCGTGTGCAATGCAGACCGAGCACTTGATTGACGGGAATCCTGCACTCGTCTGACACAGAACAAGCCACGGATAGTCGTCAGACCACTGTTTATTGAACATAAATAAGGCATCCTGGTATTTATCCTCGGCTATGTCGGGCAGTTCTGTTTCGGAGGTAACCTCAACCGCATTCCCCTTCTGTTTACGCTGTCGGGCCTCCGGGGAGGAGTTCCCCACACCAGACGTTGGCGTAGCTTGACTGGCACCCCAGTTGATCTTTGTTTGTCGGTACGTCACTTTGATACCCCTTTTGAGACGGGGTCCGACACGAGTAGTTCCGGCAGCGACAGGATGACGGTTCCGTGTGGGTTCGGGAGCGGCAGGAGTTGATGCGGCAGCGTCAGGAGTTGATGCGGCAGCGTCAGGAGTTGATGCGACAGCGTCAGGAGTTGATGCGGCAGCGTCAGGAGTTAATGCGGCAGCGGCAGGAGTTGATGCGGCAGCGACACGAGGTAATGCGGCAGCGCCAGCATGCGTCGAACACTCGCCCTGCGTCCAGATGGTAGGTGCCTCGGGGCCCGAGGAAGGGAAAACAACGGTAGGAGCTGATGGCGAGACTAACACGGGAGCAGCTGAAGCTCGTCGTAAGAAGTCTAGGCCAGTAAGGGCGGCTGGCTTCGTGGCTGGGACGGATTCAGGGTTGTCACCTGCGGGCGTTGGATCCGCCATGGCTGCTCAGCTGTGCTGAGCGTGCCGAGCTTGAGAGGGAAGCTACTGCCAGGTTGAGCTCGAACGTCACTTCCTGCAGGGGTTCACGACGAGTGCAGGAACAGAATGAGGGAGCAGATGGGGGTACCCCCTCTCCCGAGCCGCCATGGCGAGGGATCGTGGTCCTGGGTTTCCGTCTTTCCAGGCAAGATGACAACACCCCCACCCACCCCACTGCCATATTTTATGGCGTGTTGGTGTGGACCGTGCCAGCAGTGGTGTGCTGTATGTGTTCTCATTGGGCAGTTGTTGAACTAGGTTCATCGTACTCTGGTGTGATGGCTTCCAGCGAGGCAAAACGGTTCGGCGCGCACATGCTGTAAGTACAGCGCATGTGAAAAGATTCCAAGTGTGTGGGTGGGGTGGGGTTTCGTGGGAAGGTACAGTCTGTAAACGCGTCCCCCCCCTCTCCCCCCCGGGCGGTCAAGTCCGTTTCAGTGTGACTCGCTGAAGTATACTGATTCGTCAGTGTTACTTGTTCTGAAACACGCAAAATGGTCAGTGTGGCAAAATTGCAAATACTGAAATTACAGTGCAAAAATGAGGCATACCGTATTCTTCCGGATAAAACACCCTAGGGTATTATGAAAACCACTGGAAAAAAATGGGGGGGGTCTCCTCAAAGGAAAATCCTATATAATACCCGGGTCTTATGATATGGTATATTTTTTATAAAACAGAAAAGATGTGAAACAAAATCAGGGGTCTGACTTCACTTATGCTGCAAAACCAAGTACGAGGCCCAAGTGGGCCACTTGGGCCACTTGGGCCACTTCACCTCTTGGACCACTTGCAGTGGAAGATTCGCCAGCGTGGCGACAGCGAGATTTTGGGATTCACCAGCGTGGCGACAGCGAGATTGTGGGAGGGGGGATATCTCGGCTGATTCTAAGTGAAAGTACATGCGAAATTTCTTCTAGGGAGTGATTTTCGCGATATCCTCCCGTAAGGAATCGGACTCGATAACAGCTATAATAGGAATTTATAAGAAAAGGGGGGTGTTATACAGAATCACCCCAAAAAGGGGGGTATAGTACTAACGGGGTCGGATATAACACTCACCCCGTATAAGCTACCCGGGGGTGTACAATTACGGGGGGGTGTTTTATCCGGGAGAATACGGTATACTGATTTTTTAGGGAAAACGGAAATCAGAGCTACAAAATCAGCGTAATCAGCGTGTTTTACGCTGATATCTGAGGGCCTGATTTGCTCGCTCAGTGCACAGCCCCCACGGCTGTGCTGTCAGTCAGCTTCGCCCCAGGCCAGCATACGAGCCACTCGCGTGCAGTCTCTCGCTCGCAGCGCACAGGCACGATCCCTTTTCCCACCCCCCCCTTCGCCCCAAAAGGGCTGTCATGTTGAATTACATTGCATATCCTAACTGCCTACAGCTTGTTGTTAGTGTATTAGTTATTAATTAGAACCTATTGCTGGTGGTGTACCCTTTGTCTTCTCCTTGCCTATATCTTTGTATGCCCTCCATTATTCAAGCCCCTCTTTTGGCCAACCTAAACTCCCTCGATAACCATCTCACTATGCTACTCTCCCTCCAAGCTCCTAATCTCCTAAGTTCTTATCTCAACATGGTATTAAGAGCTGGGTCCTCCTAAGGACCTTGTCATTTTTTTTCATTCGCCATGGCTGCCATCGTTGCCATGGCGACCGTTGCAGCGCCCTTCGAGGCGCTCGCCCGTTGCCTGCCCCGCGCTGAACACCCCGTGCTACCCGCCCCACGCGCTGGTCGCCCCGTCCCGCGCGCTGTCGCGTCGCCCCGTCGCTGGTCGCGGACGCCAGCACCAGCGCCTCCGACCGTCGCTGACGCCAGCGCGAGCGCCAGCGACGTGCGCCAGCGCCAGCGACTGTCGCGAGCGCCAGCGCCAGCGCCGGTCCCCAGCGCCAGCGCCAGCGTCAGCGCCAGCGTCAGTGCCAGCGGCATGCGCCAGCGCCGGTCGCGAGCGCCAGCGCCGGTCGCGAGCGCCAGCGCCAGCAGCGGCCGCCAGCGCCCCCGCCATCGCCACCCCGCTCCCCGCCTCCGCACCTGCCGCCGCTCTCTTCTACGGTGGACGTTGCGGGGGGGAGGTGGCAGGGCTCGCGCCCGCGGCTACGGGGGTGCTTAAGCCCCCTTGAACCCTCCCGCCCCTCCCTAATCCTCCTCCTCATCGCTGCCCGTGCATCTGCAGTTCGTGCCGCGTTTGGGGGGGGGGGAAGAGGGTGTGGGGGTGGCGGGTATGCGCAGGCAGCCGCCTCCCCCTTCTCCTCCTCCTTCCGCTGCACTTCCTCTCCTCCTCTCCTCTCCATTCCCCTCCTCTCCTCTCTCCTCTCCTCCAGCCGCCTCCTCCTCCGCTTGTTTGCTCCTCCAGCCGCTTCTCCTCGGCTCTCCGCCTGTGCACCATCAGCTTCCTCCTCCTATCCAACGGTTGGTGTTAATCACCAGCATCCTACGCCCTCCGGTTATCCCAGCCCTCCTCCGCGCCCTCCGCGCCCTCCGCGCCCTCCTCCGTTATGGCGTTCACAGGTGCTGCCAGGAAGCAACCGCTCTCCAGGCGACCTGGTGCCTGACACCACTAACTATAGCTGTTGGCAGTTACGGGGGTGTGTTGAATTACATTGCATATCCTAACTGCCTACAGCTTGTTGTTAGTGTATTAGTTATTAATTAGAACCTATTGCTGGTGGTGTACCCTTTGTCTTCTCCTTGCCTATATCTTTGTATGCCCTCCATTATTCAAGCCCCTCTTTTGGCCAACCTAAACTCCCTCGATAACCATCTCACTATGCTACTCTCCCTCCAAGCTCCTAATCTCCTAAGTTCTTATCTCAACATGTCAGTCAAGTCAACGGCTTCGCAAGGTTCCGCCTTTCCTGATCGAATCGCCAGTCACTCAAGAGAGCCAACCGAAGTACGGTAGAAATGGATGTGGGTGGACTCACTGCAAAACAGGGAATCGTTACCGTTTTAATCATGATTTAAAATAAAAGTTGTACATGCGCTTATAATAAATCAGGGTTTTACAAGGGGTGCGCTTATAATTGAGGATCGGCCATAAGCGCATTGCTCCAGATACAAGCGCATGCGCCTTTAATAGGCCTGCACTTATATCCGGGGCCATACGGTACTAACATGGCTGCAAGGCAGAGAGCAAATGAGTTGCAACCAGACATCCTACCACACCATCTAGTTAGGGTTTTTCTACAGCTTGCCACTAAACATGTTGCATTTCACTCAAGCACCAATACACCCAGAAGATGTAGTGCACTTGGGAATAGGCGACATGAAGCGTTGTCCCCGCTTACACATGTTCCCCACGCCGCTCGCAAACATGAGATTGAAATGATCGTCTGCTGAAACAGTGTAGGTGAAGCTCCCCGATTTCGACGCTTTCTTGAGGGTCGTGGCCTTGCTGGTCTTGCACTGGGCCCAGTTCTTGGGTTGGGTGAATGTCGCTGGATCCGTGTATTGAGTGACAAACAGACGGATATCAGAGCGCTGTGTCCATTTGAATACTGCAACAATGGCAGCGAATCGGGTGGGCATGGGGAGGAGGGGTGAGGGGGAAAGCGGGGAAGGGGAAAGAAGGGGAGGGCAGGGGGACAGGGGAGCTCTAGAGTCATTTCCGACGCCTCCATCTTCTCAGACACACCACGATTCAGTGCGTTTGAGTGCGGTTGAGTGCGTATACATGCGATGCAGTGCGGTGCAACACAATCCTGATGAGACGTTGTGCAGAGGGGTGCAGAGGGGGAGGGGCAAGGGTGCAGAGGGGGAGTGGTTAGAAGGGGGGGAGAGTGGGGAGGGAAGCAGGGGGGGTTTGACGAAGCTCAGCTGATCTAAACAGATGGCAATCACAGTTTTTTAAGGTGCCTCAGAAATCGTCTGTAGCCAATCAATGAAGAGGGCAAGAGCAGCAGCACCAGCGTCAGCGGTAGCAGCACCGCACTCAGCCTCTCTGCACCGCACTCTGCCACTCTGCACCGCACTCACCCAGTTTGTCGCCCTTTTCAACAGGCGGGCACTCAATCGTCAGCAGGGCCCACAGCGAAAGCCATACCCCTCAGCCTGTTTGCACCGCATTCAGCCTCTCTGCACCGCACTCAACCTCTCTGCACCGCATTCTGCACCGCACTCAGCCTCTCTGCACCGCACTCAGCCTCTCTGCACCGCACCCAGCCTCTCCGCACCGTACTTGACCTCTCTGCACCGCGCTCACCCTCTCCGCACCGCACTCACCCAGCTTGTCGCCCGTTTCAATAGGCGGGCACTTCCACTTAATCGTCAGCGGGCCCCACGGCGACAACCTGTAAGGGCCGCCCACTTGAATCTTCTTCGCCTGGCGTCGCGCGCATGAATGGGGGCGAGAGGAGGAAACACGGGCAAGTGACAGAGGTAGGAGAGACAAGCATGAGACGAACGGCGATGGCGTGTAAGGCCCGCCCACGAGGATTGTCTTCGCCTGTCAGCGCGCGGATGAGGGGTGGGGGGCGGGGGGTGGGGGGGAAGGGGATGATAAAGGCATACACCTTTCTCGTCCTCTCTCCCACCTGCGAGCATACAAACGCCCTCGGTCAAGCGCCCTCGGTCTTCTGACATGTTCTCAGCGAGCAGCAAAACTCCGCGCATACACTCGTCCGCGAATACTAGCTCGTGCCCAACCTACGTCTGTCCGTCTGTCCGTCCGTATGTACGTACGTACGTACGAGCATTGGCCCGTGCTCTACGTACATTTCCCTGTCCCGTACGCTCTTCTTCAATCCGCAAGCCGTGAGGCTTGTGGTTGTGCGACATGGATCGGACGGTCAGGATCGCACGGCTGAAGACGCACGGCCACGATCGTGCAAACGGTCATTCGATCTTGACTAAAAAGGAGGAGGGGACGTTTATTGAGACGTCTCAGAAACGAAACATAAGCGGCAGGTGGGCAGTGCGGTTGTTTTTTGGAAGCCTAAGAAACAAGATAGCTGGTTTGAACTGAACTCTCGCTCTGTCCAAGAGGCGAACGAAAAGAACGAAAGAAAAAGCGGCAATGTGAAAGGTGTGATTGTTGTTGTCACCTGGACTTGTGCGACGGCTGGCGACGAGGCGAGATAGAGCAGGAGCACACGAGACGGGAGACCCGCGACCGAGTGCGAAACGAGAGGTTGCGACGGGAACGCGACGGTCGACGGGCGACGGGCAAACGGCGAACGGCGAACGGTGACAACGACGGGCGATTGGAGACAGGGAAAATAAGATGGGGAGAAAGAACATACAGACGAGGAAGACAAAAATAAATAGGGAGAAGATTGTGTACGAGGGAAGAGCCGTGGAGGTGGAGCAATGGCGCCGCTAGCTCTGGCGCCGCTACATAAACATAACGAGACGTGGTAAAGCGGGGACGAAAGACGCCGCGAGTTTAAAAGACAGAACAGAACGTAAGAAAGCGAGGAGGCAAGGAGAGGCGCGCACTTGAGAGCAGGAGGGCGCAAGAGGTTGCTAGTAAGCCCAGAGATACGCGGCGCGTGGCCATGGCTGGAAGCGCGCAACCAAGGGGCTTTCGACTATTGGCCGTTCAATGCTGAGGTGAGGAGTGAGCGAGGGAGGCACTCAAACGGGATACTGTAAAATGGCGCGAGGCACGAAAACGAAATGAAGGAATGCAGGAGGTCGAGGCAAAACTGTGTTCCTTGTGCTCTGTAAGTGAAGCTTGTCGAAGCATGAACTTGGTTTGGGGTGGAGGGGGTTGGTTGTTGGCAGGAGCAGCAAAGCTTTTAGCGGGGTCAGTTGATCGATCAGTTGATTTGTAGCTGTGTTCGGGGTCCGCGTAAGAAAGTGATACGGGCGGAGCAGGCAGGGAGTGAAAGTTGGTGAAGACGTGTACAATCGTGTTCAAAATTGATTTCGCTTAGCTAAAATCCGAAAGCTGAATGCGTCGGAGAAAAAAAAGGCGCTCCCGACACACAGCCCACACCGCCACCGAAAATCCACCCACCAATCCCGCAACGTGCGCGCGGCGAGGCAAGCACGCCCGAGCAGTTGGACTGTGGCACAAAAGACAGCAGCGTCCAGAGTGTCGCGTCGCTAATTCCATCCAGTAAAAAAGCCGGCTCCTCCGAGCCTGATGTACAGCCCACGTTTAGCGGCCATTATCTTCGATACTCAGATTTTTCCTGAGCGCGTTCTCAGGTGTAATCACCAACAGAAACACAGTTTTTCGATATAGTGTGAGTCTATTCTGTTTTATATTTGTATACAGTCACTCAAAAAGAGGAAGTCTAGCACTTGCAATAAATAAATATATTGCCCGTAGCGAACCTATATGTTTTCCGGGAAGGATCAACCCTAAACACCGAAAGCCTCCAAATATTTTGGAAAACATATTGCAACCCACTTGACAAAAAAATTTAATACCCACCTCGGAAAAGGATGCGACTCGGGAAGCATCAACCCTAAAAACAATGCCCATTTCCGTGTTTAGGGTTGACCCCTCTCGAAAATGCATCCAGGTTCCCTAGGGTTTTTATTTTTTTCTGCCATGCCCGAATAGGTCTCGGTAGCGTCGTCTAGTGCTTTCGGAAGCGTTGTTTAGCGGTCAGTTGCGCTACTGAGCACTACCAAGTGAGTTATATGGGCTTCATTCTCTTACTACCTTAATTTCCGTACATATATCCAGGTCGGGAGGGTAAAGTGGATGGTTTTGTTTTTGTCACTTCCTAATGAGTTCGACCAGCGTGAGAAATGTGACTAAAAAGCGACGACCAATCAACGTTGAGAAAGTCCGGGTTGATTACACCTGAGAGCGCGCTCAGGCAAAATCTGAGTATCGAAGATAATGGCCGCACGTTTAGCATGTCTGGTTTCACGCTCTGTACACGTGGACGGAATTTTGCTGAAAAACCTGGCTGCTAGCGTGGCACGGCTGATGTGTTGTTTGCCTCACCTCGAGGTTTGGTTCGGAGAAGCAGGTGGTTGGCTTGTGCACCGAACTTTGGGGTGTCTGGGCAGGGTACCTCCAAGAGATGCCGGGGGAACTGGAATTGAGCATTCAAATAAATCCTAATTTCTAGAGGTAATAAAGCAACTTATGGGAATAAACTTTTCGTTCAATTCTCAAAAACAGCCCTCCTACAAGGTGGAAAGCGTTTGATGCTGTGGTCGCACCACGTCTGTGAAAGCTGGTTGGTGGCGGTGTTCGGTACTGTGGTACTGTACTTGTGGCGGTGAGTGCGTTCAGCTGATCGCGATTCGCGGTGTAGCAGGCTCGCTTTCTGCAATGCACGGTGCACCCCTCCCTCCCTCGGAGGTTTGTTTGTTTCCACAGCGTACACCCCTCTCCCACCTCACCGAACCAGGAAACCTGAACTGCCCAGCACCAACTCACCATTTCCACCCACCTTTCCTCTTCCCCCCACTTAGGTAGACCAAAGCTTTACAGAGCTTCAGTAATTGACAGCGATCAGTTTGTTCTACGAGTATCGTCAGGCATACAGAGTGAAAGTAATTTTTGTTAGTACTCGTTGGCAATCTTACGCTTCTTGCAACAACGCCCGACGCCACCTTCTAACGTTAGGGTTTGATTTCTAGTTTTAAGTTCGTTGTTTCTTTCAATCTCTAGTGTAGTCCTGCCTCCCGCTCATTCGCGACATTGCCGCGACGGCAGTGGCTTGACATCCTACAACAATGTCTACGCGGCTCGTGCTGTTTCTAGCAGGCATATCGCTTCTCGCTCTACTCTCAAGTGCGTAAGAACAATTGTCAGGCGACACTTGAGAAAATATAAAAACGACCCTACTTCCCGTTTCCGCCCCCTGTTATCCCCCGCATTTGCGTTTGCGTTTGCGTCTGCCTTTGCGCTTGTGTATGCGTTTGCGTTTTTGTTTGCATCGCTGGAAACGAGGTCGTATGTGAAACGCGTATACTTTATCGTTTCGATGAGCGAAACGCACGTGATGTGATGGAGCTGCCACTAATCACTCGTCGCGACTTTTGAGTGGACTCAAATGTCACCTCGGTGAGCGAAGAACACGTGACGTGACGTGTTCGGAGCAGCTGTCACTGATCATTCGTTGCGCGCCCTCGTTCTGCCCTGCACGTTCTGCCCTGCACGTTCTGCCCTGCACGTTCTATCCTCCTTGCTCTCCCCCTTGCGTTCTTCTTTACATGTTCTCCCCCTCGTTCTCCTCTCCATGTTCTTCCCACTTGTTCTTCCTCGTCCTCTCTTGCTCTTCCTCCATTCTGCGCCCATTGTTATTCCCCCCTTGTTCGTCCCCCGTTGTTTTTTTCCACCTAGTTCTTCCCCCATTGTTCTGCGCCCCTCACTCGTCCCCCCTTGTTCTCCCCTTCTGTCATGCGGTCATTGTTCTTCTTCCCCTGTTTTCCCCACCTAGTTCTTTCCCCATTGCTCTGCGCCCATTGTTTTGCGCCCCTCATTCGTTCCCCCATGTTCGTCCCCTTGTGTCATGCGGATCTTTTCTGACGCCACTGCTCTGCTGCCCTAGTCGTGCTCCCCCTTGTTCTGTCGCCCTCCTTCTCCTCCCCTCTCCTCCTCCCCCTCTCCCCGCCCTCCTCCTCCTCCCTCCCATAACCATTCCCCTCCCCATCATTCTCATGTCCTCCGGATCGTCGTCGCGTGTCGCGTCGGTTCGCTGCTCTCCGCACCACCATGGCCGTCTCGTCTCCACCGTGTCACGCGCACCCCTCCCCCGTGCTGCCGCTCTCACTCCTGAACACTCCTCCTCACCCCCTTCCCTCCTCCCCCTCCCCCCCCCCCACCCTCCTCCCTCCCATGTCCATTCCCCTCCCCGTCATTCTCATATCTTTCTGATTGTCGTCGCGTGTCGCGTCGGTTAGTTTCTCCACCGCCACTCTCCCGCGCTGCCGCTCCCACTCATGAACATTCTCTCCCCTTCTCCCTCCCCTTCCCCCCCGTCCCTCCCATTCCTCCTATCTTCCCAATCGTCGTTGCGTTTCTCTCCGACTGTGGCGTGTCTCTTCGATCGTCCTCATTTTCTCTCCGCGCCGCGTCTTTACCGCCATGGCCGCGGCGTCGTCGCTATCGACCGCGCCACGCGCACCTCTCGCTCCCGCGCTCGCGTTTTTCGGCACTGCCTCTAACCGATTCGGCGCTGCCTGTGTCTGTGTCGGCGAACCAGGCTTCTCGCTCGCAGAGGTTAGCGCTCTCTTCTGCCTCCTCTCCCCCTCCTCCCCCTCCCTTCCCACCCCCCCCCTCCCCCCCCCCCCCCCCCCCCCCGCCCCCCATTACCCCCCTCGCCTCCCGTATCCCACTCGAATCCACGTTTCCCCCCATTCGCCTCCCTGTATCCCCCTCCCCTCCCCGTATATCCCCCCCCCCCCATGTTTTCTTACAAATCATTCACCTTCTCCCCCTTGTTTCTGTGGTACTACTGCGACCAACACTCCCTTTGTTGTGTGCTGACGTTTTTTTTCCTTCTTCCTCGACCGGGCAGGCGAAAAAAATCTATGTTGGTGGACGCAATGCGTGGAACCCGTGGGGCCCGGGAGTGAGGAAATGGAAGGGCCCTCACAAAGTCTTCAGAGGCGACACATTGGGTGAGTCCTTATCACATGCTCTCTCTCTCTCTCTCTCTCTCTCTCTCTCTCTCTCTCTCTCTCCCTCTCTCTCTCTCTCTCTCTCTCTCTCTCTCTCACACACACACACACACACTTCAAAACCTCTGTTCTGATTCATTTCAATTGATTGCTACAGTGTTCAGATGGAAGAAAAAATCAAACTTGGTTATGCTGGCCGATGAAACGGACCCTGCGGCGCCTTATTATTTCGACAAGTGTACATACGACACGTCCAATCCCGCGTTGCACACTGTGGTCGCGGAAGCCAAGGCCTCGGGATCTGCCAAGTTCACGATTGCCAAGGACTCCGTGGCACTCCATTATTGGTTCATTAGTACCGTTGGCAAGACGTGCAAGAACGGGCAGAAATATGAAACGCCGCCTATCCTTACCAAGTAGTGATGGTAGTATCAACTGTGTGCGAATGGCTGGTTGAAGTATGCATGCTTGTTTAATTAGATTACTGGTACGTAGGTTGCATCTATCCTTTCGGTACTTTGTAAGTATAATCTATCTACATTGATCCTGACAGGAAGCTGGACGGCAGTGTGATTCTAACAACAATATCGACTGTAGAGACTGCTGAGGCCTCATATACTGGTACTGTACTTGCTTGGCCTGTGAATACCAGTCGTACCAATCATCTGGGTGCCGCTGATTGGACAAAGCAAGTCAGGGTTTGGATGGACTAAAGGCAAGTCTGCTAAGTAATGGACTAATTCAGCACAGTACAGCGCCTTAATGAGAAGGGAACACACCCCCAAAGTGCCTGAAACGAGCAATTGGGGCGGCAGAAAGAAAAACGTTGGAAATGTTCGAGACTCCTGGGTATGTCCATCAAATGAGGGCCCAACCAAGTCCGTCAATAGAAACATGCACACATAATCACCCTGCAGAAACTTTCAAGCATCAAGAAGAGCTTCAATTGATTATAAAAAAGAAGAAAACACTCAACAATGAGAATTTAGGAAATAATGTACGTACACCAAACCAAACCTTCAATCTACACTTCCTACGCTCTGTGCACTTAGCCTTCACAGAATGTCAAAACAAACCATTAAGATGTTTAAGGCAATCCCAAACCCATTCTCTGCGCATTCCCTCTATCCTCTCACTCTGCATTCTCTCTATCCACTCACTGCGCATTCAGCCGACCCACAAGCTCTTTTGCGCCCAGCAAAGGAGTCACAGCCTCTCTTCACCACCACTACCCACTGCCGACCTCCATTCTCGAGGCACCTTAAACCCGAAATCTGAGGAATGGTTGACCCACTCACTGTGCATTCAGTCGATCGAGCTCTTTGGCCCCCAGCAGCGAGTCACGCCCTCTCTCCACAGCCACACACCACCATCATCCCCAACACTATCATACTCATTCTCCACCACCACTCACTGGGCATTCAGTCTGTCCACAAGTTCTTCTGCTCCCAGCAGCGAGTCACACCCTCTCTCCACCTTTTTGAGGCCTCAAAACTCTCCCACTATTGAGCCTCCCAATCCACTCACTGGGCATTCAGTCTGTCCACAAGTTCTTCTGCTCCCAGCAGGGAGTCGCATCCTCTCTCCACTGCCACCACCAGCTGCCGCCCGCCACTCCTTCTCTCCACCACCCACGCATTCCTCCCCACCTTCGATGCCACCTCCTCACTCTCCTCCTCACTCTCCTCCTCACTTTCCTCCTCAATCTCCTCCTCATCCCTCTCCGCAAGCCACTCCTCACCCGCCTCTTCCACCCCACCCTCTCCTCCCTCCTTCGGACTTATCCCTTTCCTCTCCCCAACAACAGCTTCACTCTGCTCCCCCTCGCCTCCCACATCTGCCGCTCCCTCCGCCTCTCTCCCTCTGCGATCCCCCTCTTCGCCCTTGGAATTCTCCATCTCCGAATCTATTCCTCGTGTGCTGGCCGAATGTTGCTCCTTCCAGCCTGCGCCGGGCACAGAAGCGTGGTCAGTGGGAAGGGAAGCAGTTTTGGCAAATCCACAAAAAAAAAAACCTTCGAATTCTCCTTCTCTGAGTTACCCCCTCGTGAGCCGGCTGGATGTTGTTCCTTCCAGCCTGCGCCGGGCACAGACGCGTGGTCAGTAGTGAAAAAAGCAGGATTGCAGTCAGAGGGGGGAAGAGCAGCAGGAGAGTTAGCACTCTCGCCGAATGTTGCTCCTTCCAGCCTGCGCCGGGCACAGAAGCGTGGTCAGTGGGAAGAGCAGCAGTGTGCAAGTTGACTTTTGAGTCGACTCAAAGAGCAGCAGTGTGCAAGTTGACTTTTGAGTCGACTCAAAGAGCAGCAGTGTGCAAGTTGACTTTTGAGTCGACTCAAAGAGCAGCAGTGTGCAAGTTGACTTTTGAGTCGACTCAAAGAGCAGCAGTGTGCAAGTTGACTTTTGAGTCGACTCAAAGAGCAGCAGTGTGCAAGTTGACTTTTGAGTCGACTCAAAGAGCAGCAGTGTGCAAGTTGACTTTTGAGTCGACTCAAAGAGCAGCAGTGTGCAAGCGACATGATTCTTTTCTTTCAGATTTCTCGAAACTCCCTAGAAATCTCCGCCCCTGCACTCTCCCGTTGTGTGCTGGCTGGATGCTGTTCCTTCCGGCCTCCGCCGGGCACAAGCGTGGTCAGTGGGAAGAGAAGGGGTGCAGTCAGAGAGAAGAGCAGGCAAGCAGTCATAAGGACGAGCAGGAGGGAAGTTAATGAGAAGAGCAGGAGAGAAGTTAATGAGAAGAGCAGGAGAGAAGTTAATGAGAAGAGCAGGAGAGAAGTTAATGAGAAGAGCAGGAGAGAAGTTAATGAGAAGAGCAGGAGAGAAGTTAATGAGAAGAGCAGGAGACAAGTTAATGAGAAGAGCAGGAGAGAAGTTAATGAGAAGAGCAGGAGAGAAGTTAATGAGAAGAGCAGGAGAGAAGTTAATGAGAAGAGCAGGAGAGAAGTTAATGAGAAGAGCAGGAGAGAAGTTAATGAGAAGAGCAGGAGATAAGTTAATGAGAAGAGCAGGAGAGAAGTTAATGAGAAGAGCAGGAGAGAAGTTAATGAGAAGAGCAGGAGAGAAGTTAATGAGAAGAGCAGGAGATAAGTTAATGAGAAGAGCAGGAGAGAAGTTAATGAGAAGAGCAGGAGAGAAGTTAATGAGAAGAGCAGGAGAGAAGTTAATGAGAAGAGCAGGAGATAAGTTAATGAGAAGAGCAGGAGAGAAGTTAATGAGAAGAGCAGGAGATAAGTTAATGAGAAGAGCAGGAGAGAAGTTAATGAGGAGCAGGAGAGAAGTTAATGAGAAGAGCAGGAGAGAAGTTAATGAGAAGAGCAGGAGATAAGTTAATGAGAAGAGCAGGAGAGAAGTTAATGAGAAGAGCAGGAGATAAGTTAATGAGAAGAGCAGGAGAGAAGTTAATGAGGAGCAGGAGAGAAGTTAATGAGAAGAGCAGGAGATAAGTTAATGAGAAGAGCAGGAGAGAAGTTAATGAGAAGAGCAGGAGAGAAGTTAATGAGAAGAGCAGGAGATAAGTTAATGAGAAGAGCAGGAGAGAAGTTAATGAGAAGAGCAGGATATAAGTTAATGAGAAGAGCAGGAGATAAGTTAATGAGAAGAGCAGAACCCTCCTCTTGAGTCGACTCAAAAGCAGAACCCTCCTCTTGAGTCGACTCAAAAGCAGAACCCTCCTCTTGAATCGACTCAAAAGCAGAACCCTCCTCTTGAGTCGACTCAAAAGCAGAACCCTCCTCTTGAATCGACTCAAAAGCAGAACCCTCCTCTTGAATCGACTCAAACGCAGAACCTCCTCTTGAGTCGACTCAAAAGCAGAACCCTCCTCTTGAATCGACTCAAAAGCAGAACCCTCCTCTGCTGCTGCCTGTCCACCTCCTGTCACATCTACTTCAACACTGCATGGGAGAAGAAATTTGAGTTGACTCAGAAGTCACCTCCTGTCACATCTAGTTCAACACTGCATAGGATCCCATCCATACCTGTCTCTCCTCTTCCCGCCCTCCCAGTTGCCGCATCTCGTTTTGAGGTTCTCTACCTCGTTGCACCTACAAACATTTTTGAGGTGCCTAAAAAATAACCTAAAAGAATCAACCATACCTTCCTCTCCTCTTCCCACCCTCCCTGTAAGAGCATCTCTTGTCTTCCTTCCTCCACCCTGGACCCTCAATATCTCCCTCCTTTGCTGCTGTCTGTCCGCCTCGTGTCTCATCTGATTCAGCACTGCCAAAGAATCCTGGGGAACAGGACGGTTTCAGGGATGCAAGGGAGGGAGGGGTAAGTTTAGGATTGTCAATGCATCACCTCTTTCGACACACCAACCCATCTCCTCTGCTGCTGCCTTTCTGTGTATCCGCTTCGTGCCTCAACCGATCAAGCACTTCACTTCAAGGGAGTGGTTGGGGAGGGCATAGTTTCAAAAGAGCAAGAAAGGGAAGCACACTGGTGTGACTTTGCAGGGTGGAAAGAGGCAGCCAGATGCACCAAGGAAGAACCGAACTTTGATGGGATGGTGACCCACCTTGGCCGGGTTGGTGATGTTGCAGGGTGGGGAGGTAGAGAAGGAGCGGAGCAGCGGAGTGGATTGGTGCAGCGGTAGCACAGAGGGGGGATGAACCCTCAATATGCGACAAATCACTCGACAATGGGATCTGGACTATGTGGGAAGCTGCTGAGTGATCGGAGTACTGTTAGCACTTGTGCAAGTTGTTCACAGGGAAAAGTGGCATGAGTTTCACCAAGGTAAAGCGATTGAACAAGATTATAATGAGGCATGGAAGTTGATATCACAAAGAAAGCATAGCAGCACCTAGCAAGCATTCGGCAAGGCGACCTGCCAGTGTAGCAAAGGGGCGCCGTGCCAACGCTGCAGCAGGGCGGCCCGCCAACGTTGCACCGAGAGCGGTCTGCCAGCACCGCATTTGCAGGTGAACATGTGCGCATATGCGCACCCACCAAGTAGGTGCAGGTCGACGGTTGCACCGCCAGGCACATTGCGCAGGTGCCAGGTAGAACACGTGTCGATGGTTTGCCAAACAAGCACCGTCTAGGACGTGATTGCCATCCCATAGGTCGGCTTCGCCAAAACCTCCTTGGGCGAAGTTCGCGAACCTGCCAAATTTTGTAGTTGAGCAGCTTATGTCGACCAACTCGACGCAGCTCTATCGGATTGCATTCGTCGAGGCGAGCTCGTCGTATTGGGCTCGTTGACCAGTGCTTCTCGACGGACTCCTCAACGACCATTGTCGTCGACCAGCGACTTCCGCCGACGTCGACCGAATCCTGTCGAGCAGTGGTCACTCGACAAACACCCTCCTCAATCAGCAAAAGCCTACTCAACGACCACTTCGTCGAGTTCTTCTCGTCGACAACGAGAACAACTGCACCCAAGCGAGGGCGGGGCCTTTCTCTTCGAGAGTAGTGACTTTGCAGGGGGGGGAGGTGGAGAAGGAGCGGAGCAGCGGGTCGGTGCAGAGGTAGCGAGTGAGGGAAAAATGTAAACAGCCGACGTTTGATAGGGTGGCAACCGGACTTTGATAGGTAGAGAGAGAAAGAACCCACCTTGGCAAGGGTGGTGACTTTGCAGGGCGGGGAGGCGGAGAAGGAGCGGAGCAGAGGGTCGGTGCAGAGGTATCGATAACCCTGAATGTGGGCGGCCTGCGGGTTGATGTGGTGTCGTTGAAGCGACGCCTCCAGTGCTTCCATCTCCCTCAGCAGCTAATGGGGGGATGGAGGGGAGGGGAAGGGGGGAACGAGAGGGGTGGGAGATGAGGAGAGGAGGAAGGAGAGAAAGAGGAACTTTGTTGAGGGTATGACGCAGACACATATGTGCTCGGTGGAAAAAAGCGCCAACTTTTGAAGATTTATAACATTCTTGCTGTAATGTTTTTTTACATGTAAACGCACAAAACCAAACAAAACAGGAAACAAACAATTACATGACTTTTGTTTGTTTGTTTGTCTGATTTTTTTTTTTTTTTTTTTTAAATCCTTTTAGTTTCTTTGTTTTCCTTCCTTCTTTCTATATTGATTTATTTCTCGCTCTCTCTCCTTCTTTCTTTCTTTCTTTCTTTCTTTCTTTCTTTCTTTCTTTCTTTCTTTCTTTCTTTCTTTCTTTCTTTCTTTCTTTCTTTCTTTCTTTCTTTCTTTCTTTCTTTCTTTCTGTCTTTCTTTCTTTCTTTCTTTCTTTCTTTCTTTCTTTCTTTCTTTCTTTCTTTCTTTCTTTCTTTCTTTCTTTCTTTCTTTCTTTCTTTCTTTCTTTCTTTCTTTCTTTCTGTTTTTCTTTCTTTCTTCCTCTCTTTCTTTCCTTCTTTCTTTATGTTTTTTTCTTGTTCTAATAGAAGCATGCCCGTACGACGATTCAGTTGCCCAAGACATGTGCTTCTTGCCTGTGTGTGCACTGAGTCAGTTTATAACGACTCAAACAAGCAACAACTCACCTCGGGGTGCAGTGATGCCCGACCAGCATCATCATTCCTCCTTTGCCCCTCTCTTGTTGTTGCTGCTGCTTCTGTTTTTTGAGAATTCTAAAAAAAACAGATGCTGCTAGTGGTTCCACCACCAGGGCTGTTAGGTCCTTCACAAAAGAGCACTCCCACCACTCCCACCACTCCCAGCACGTGCAAACAAGGCAATCCACTCAACTCAACCCGGGGTGCAGATTCGCTTGACCAGCTTCATCATTCCTCCGCTGTCCCTTCTTTGCACCACGCCCTCCTCCTCCTGCTGCTGCTGCTGCTAGTGGTTCCACCTCCAGAACTGTCAGGTCCTAGACAAAAAACACTCAAAGCACGTGCAGACAAGGCAATACACTCAACCCACCTCGGGGTGCAGATTCGCTTGATCAGCTTCATTGTTCCTCCACTGTCCCTCCCTTGCTCCTGCTGCTGCTGTTGGCAGTAGTGGTTCCACCACCAGTGCTGTCAGGTCCTTCACATAAAACACCCGCAACACTCCCACCACTCCTGCTCCCTTTGCCTCTCCCTCTCCCCCTCCCCCTTCCCCTCCACCCTCCCGCTTTCCACCACCCTTTCCCTTCGCCCCTTCCTCTCCTCGTTCCCCTCCCCCCGCACTTCCCACCCCTCCTCCCGCCCCTCCTCCCCCCACCTCGACTCCCAAAGACCTTAGGTAGACAAGAGGGGGAAGAGGGGTGCTGGTTTGGGGATCTAATCCCCATGCTGACGTGGAAAGGGAGTGGCCTGACGTGGATTTGGCCCAGGATGATGGGCGAAGGGGTAGGGGAGGGGAGGTGTAGGGGAGGGGGAAAGGGGAGGAGAGGGTGGGGGGGGTGGAGGCGGATGGGGAAGGGGGGAATGGCTGGTTGGGGTTGGGGCAAGCAGAGGGGGAGAGAGGGGGAGTGTGGGCGAAAGGGGAGAGGTGGGCGAGCGAGGGAGTGGAAGAGGAGCGAGGTAGGGTGGGAGCGAGTGAGGGAGTGAGTGAGGGAGTGAGTGAGGGGCTGAGGAAAGAGGAAGAGGTGCGACGAGGCGAGGGGGAGGAGGGGCGGTGAGAGGAGGGGGAGGAGGAGGCGGAGGAGGAGGAGGCGAAGGGGGAGCGGAAGGGGGAGAGGGAGCGGAGGATGGAAGAGGAGGAGGAGGAAGGGGAGAGGGAGGAGGGGAGAAGGCGCAGGCAGGCATAGGAGTGTAGTGCTGCAGTGTCAGCCTGAGGGTGGGTGAGGGAGAGGGGTGAGGGGGAAACCGGTGGAAAGAAACAAGGGAGGGAAATTACTTTTAAAGTCAATTTCAGGAAAGGGGAGGAGGGGAGAAGGCACGGGCTGCGTAGGAGTGTAGTGCTGCAGTGTCGGCCTGAGGGAGAGAGAGGGGAGAGGGGAGGGGGAGGGGGGGTAGAAGGGAAGATTTCTTTTGTTGAGGCACCTCAAAATGGGAGGGGAGAGGGAGGAGGGGAGAAGGAGCAGGGATGAATAGGAGTGTAATGCTACAGTGTCGGCCTGAGGGAGAGGGGGGGGAGAGGGGGGAGAAGAGGAAGAGGGGGGAGAGGGGAGGGAGGGAAGGGGGAGAAGTGACACTTGAGTCGACTAAAAACTCGGAGGCTATGCTGCTGTGTCATTCTGAGAAAGAGGGAAGAAGGGTGATAGGTTAGAGGGTGTGAGGTTGGTGAGAGGGGTGAGAGGGGTGAGAGGGGAAGGGAAGGGTTCGTGAAGGGAAGCGGAAAGATCAAAGGAAGTGAGAAAGATAAGGGAAAGCAAGAGCAGCGGCGGTGGACTGTGGAAGGTAAGAAAGGGGCAGCAGCGGCATGTGTGGTTACCGGGGAGAGGGTGGAAGGAAGCAAGCAGCAGGTTGTTGGGAGAGCAGCAACGCAATGCAAGGCTCGGGGCTTGGGGCTTGGGATTTGGGGCTTGGGGCTTTGGATTTGGGGCTTGGGATTTGGGGCTTGGGGCTTGGGATTTGGGGCTTGACTCTGAATGGGGTATGAAAAATCACCGAGGAGAGGGTGGAGGCGAGCATGTGTGATTACCGGGGAGAGGGTAGAGGCAAGCAGCAGGTTGTGGCACAGCAGCAGCGCCGCGCCTTGAAAGGCGTCCGCCAACCGATGGGCGAGCGACTGGTGGGAGGGGGCAGGGGGGAGGTGGGGAGAAGCAGAGCAGGAGCAGGGAGATCGGGTAGAGGCGAGCAGCAGGTTGCGGCAGAGGCAGCAGTGCTGCGCCTTGAAAGGCGATGGGCGAGTGATTGGTAATGGGAGTGACTGGTAATGGGAGGGGGAGGTGGGGAAGGGAAAAGCAGAGCTGGAGGTGATTGGTCTGCAACAAGAGATGTGGGGGAGAAAAGAGGTTGTGGCAGAGCAGCAGCGCCCCTCCTTGAGAGGCGTCTGCCAGGCGATGGGCGAGCGACTGGTGGGAGGGGGCAGGGGGGAGGTGGGGAGAAGCAGAGAAGGAGCAGGGAGATCGGGTAGAGGCGAGCAGCAGGTTGCGGCAGAGGCAGCAGTGCCACGCCTTGAAAGGCGTCCGCCAGGCGTTGGGCGAGCGACTGGTAATTGGAGGGGGAGGAGAGGGGGCAGGGGGGAGGTGGGCGAGACACAGTGCAGGAGCAGAGAGGCTGGGCAGAGAGGAGAGATGAAGGGACAGCAAAGGCTTGCCTTGGAAGGCATCTGTCAGGCGACGGGCAAGGGAGGTGGGGGGGCTGAGCTAGCAGCAGGAGAGGCGGTTGGAGGGGAGTTGAGGAGAAGCGGGACTGGGTGGGGTGTATGGGAGTAGGGAGCGGGGGAGGGGGCGTGGGGGAGCAGGGGAGGTTGAGGGTGGCAACAGGAGAGTTTCGAGTCGTCTCAGAATTTGAGAGGCGATTGAAGAGGGAGTTGAGGGGGAGAAGAGGAGAGGGTTGAACGAAGGGGTGCGCTGGGATAAGAAAGGGGGTGAGGTGAGGGGTGAGGAGTGGTTGGAAGAGGTGGTGGCGGGGGTGGGTGGGGCAGAGAGAGAACAAGAATAAGGGAGAAGCAGGCTTACCAGAGGAGGGAGCGTGAGGGAGCGTGGAAGGTTGAGCTGCCGACAGGAGAAGCGGCTGGAGAGGGAGTCGAGGAGAGCAGGCAGGCGGACCCGAGGGGGCGTGGGGTATGCATGCTAGAGTGACTCACCAAAGCGGGGAGGGAGCGACTCACTAGTGCCGGCAGTGTGAGGGAGTGACTCACTAGTGCCGGCAGTGTGAGGGAGCGACTCACTAGTGCCGGCAGTGTGAGGGAGCGACTCACTAGTGCCGGCAGTGTGAGGGAGCGGGGGAGGTTGAGCTGGCGGCAGGAGAGGCGGCTGGAGAGGGAGTCGAGGAGAGCAGGCAGGCGGACTCGAGGAGTGGCGGGGGCGGCCAGGGCGAAGGGGAAGGTGAGAGCGGAGGGCTCCGGGGACCCGCCTGGAGGGATGAGGGGGGGGAAGGGGGAGGAATGAGGGCAGGAGGAGGGCGACTGGTTAAGTCGACTCAGAACAGGACCCGAAGAGGTGTGTGAGCGGAGAGGGCGAAGGGGAAGGTGAGAGCGGAGGGCTCCGGGGACCCGCCTGGAGGGATGAGGAGGGATGGGAAGGAGCAGAGCGGGCAGGAAGTGGAAAGCATCGGTTGAGTCGACAAAAAGAAAAGGGGCTGGGAGAGGGGCAGGGGAGGAGGGGAAGGTGAGAGAGGAGGTGAGAAGTGTGAGAGAGAGCAGTGAAAGGAGAACAAGATGCAGTATACACATGAGGTAGAGGAGACACGCACCCGTGAGAAAGTCTGGCAGGAAGGCTTGCAGGCAAGCACGGGCTAAGTCGGCTGAAGGGGGAACGGCCGACGGGGAATCGTGTGAATCGTGTGAAGGTGTGCTGGACTCAAGATCTGATGAAGGATTTGATGAAGGCCCAGTTGTTGCTTCTGAGGGGAGAGGAGGAGGAGGAGGAGAGGGAGGTTGTTGCTGCAACAGGCGGTCGATGCTGCTGAAGAAGAGACAAAAAAGCGCATGCGCCTCCACCAGATACTGCCGAAGAGCTTCGTCGCGCACTGTAGCGTCGGGCGGCACGATGCCGTTCACCCCCCGACACTCCACCACCTGAGATTAGGTTCGGCATATGGGAAGCCGAAAGGTAAGGGCAGGGGAGAAGTATGGAAGATGCCCGGCTCACACTCCAGCGGCGCGTGGCGGTGAGAGAAGGTGTGCTGACTGTCACTGCCAGGCCCACTAACATCATGCACACTTCATAGTGCCTCAAGCACCCACCCAATCCACATGACACCATCACCGCACTCACCAGCACCATGAATATGCCCGGCTCACACTCCAGCAGCACGTGGCGGTTGAAGCATGTATATTGACTACTGGGTGTGTCACTGTAATGACTGTGAACCCACCAGCACCACTCACCACCGCACTCACCAGCACCATGAATATGCCCGGCTCACACTCCAGCAGCATGTGGCGGTGAGAGGAAGTAGACTGTGAGTGCAATGAGTGCAAGTCCCATTCACATCAAAGCACCCCCCCACCCCACCCATTCACTCACCAGCACCATGAAGATGCCCGGCTCACACTCCAGCAGCACGTGGCGGTTGAAATGCGCTCGCATCACCTCACAGGGGCGATGGGGGGAGAAGATTCTGGGAAAGGGGGGCAAGGGGGCAACGGAGAGAGGAGGTGGGTTGGGTTGGGGGGCACGAGGTGAAGGGCAGCGATGGAAATGCGCTCGCATCACCTCACAGGGGCGATGGGGGGAGAAGATCCTGAGGGGCGCGGAAGGCAATACGTGGACAGGCAGCAGAGTGGGGAGCGGGGGGGGAGAGGGAGGGCTGCACATGGGGGCTTTAACGTGAGACTGGTGGGCGAGCAGGGGACATTGAGAGGGTGGTTCATTTGATGGGGGGGGAGCGGGAGGTAAGGAGGGCAGCGAGTGTGATTATCCAGTCTGCCTTTAGAGATTGTGACAATAGCGAGTGTGGCTACAGCGAGTCACCTGGTAGATGCGAGGAGGCCCTCCCAGAGGCCGAGCAGCGCCACTTGCTCCGACAGCGAAGTCGCCTGTACCAGAGGATATGCCTATACGAGTGTGACTATAACGAGTGTGACTAGATAGCGAGTCAGCTTCTATAAAGTCACCTGGTGACTGCTAGGAGGCCCTCCCAGAGCCCCAGCAGCGCCTTGCTCGGACGGCGGAGTGGCGTGTAACTACAGCGAGTGTGCCTACAGCAAGGGGGACTATAGCGAGTGACCTGGTGAATGCGAGGAGGCCTTCCCAGAGGCCCAGAAGCGCCATTTGCTCCGACGGCGGAGTGGCCTGTAACAAAGAATATGCCTACACGATTGTGACTATAAAGAGTGTAACTCTAGCGAGTGCGACTATAACGAGTCGACTAAAATAGAGTCACCTGCTGAAGGCGAGGAGGCCTTCCCAGAGGCCCAGCAGCGCCACTTGCTCGGACGGCGGAGTGGCGGGCGGAAAGAAGAACAGAAGCTTCTCCGCCTCTTCCCCCTCCCGCTTCCCCCGTCGCGAGTCGAACACGCACACGCGCACCGCGCTTCCTGCCGCGCCGCCTCCCCCGCCGCCTCCCCCACCGCCGCCCATCCCGGCTCCCCCTGCGCCCGATCCGCCTTTCCCCATTCCGCGGGGAGACGCGCGGAGGGGCGAGAGTGCCAAAAAATCGCGATCACACGGCGAGTTGTGCGCTGAGTCAACAGACACGCGCGGAACGGCTGCGGAAGTGCGGAGATGCGAAGACGCGGAGATGCGGAAATGCGGGAACGCGGAGATGTGGATGAGAGGTGGCAGGCGAAGGCTCAAGTGTCCACGCGAATGCTTTGCGAATGAATGACGGCCTTCGAATCCTTCGAACTTGGAACCATCGCGCGTTTGGAACTGCTGCACCATGAATTTCTGGTAAAATATTTTCTGGCAGGAAATTTGCCTGATTCTCGCGCGTTACTGCAAAACTCGATAGCCATATCTCCTTACTGTTTTTCATGCCCATTCTCGCTAAAAGTGAAATACGGTAATAGCGAAATTGCTTGCCTATTTAGTCATCTAGAGCAACCATACACATTTACGATGCCCTTTAAACTCATCGCTGCCAGCTACGGCAATGTCACGCGTGCTTTGTGAGCTCTGCGGATGCCAAATACTCGATATACTCAGTATGTCAGGTACGCCCTCTTCGGCCAATTTCGTTTCAACATGGTGAAGAGCGGTGCCGGGTTCCAACGCTGATTTTAGAATGCCGATTACCAACTACCTCTCCGCCATGGCTTCTGCTTTAACTTCGGACAGCGCAATGTCAAGCAATTTCTTGCCTGATGACACATTTCTTGTTACCTTAAAGTTCGGTTCGACTAGCGCTTTAAGAGGATACCCTTTTTGTGTTCATACAGTGAACATCGGTAACTCTTGCCTGGTCGCAGGAACTATCAAGGTACTCGCCAGATGGTCTGCGAGCAGCGCTCAATGTCGTCCTTGGTTGTTGCTACTACGTGCGGATTGGCTCCTTGATCCTGACCCGCCATACAAGCATCATTTCTTATCTCCAACATTGGTTACGTCGCGCTTTTGTCACCTGGGTTCTATACATGGCAATGACATTGGTTTCTCGAGGAAGGTCAATGACAATGATAAATGCGACTGCAAAGCTGGCTGCAAGGACATATCAGTGCTCAGCAGAGGTTTTCTATCATGTTGTCTGCTCAGCCTGTTCCTCTGTTTTCATCTTTGCACAATGGCGAATGGACGATGCACTGGACGTGGGGGTGGGAAGGCAACGGGAATAATTCCTGTTCCGGGTGAATCTACTCCTCCGGCAAGTACTGAGCAGTCTCCAGAGAAGATCCCGCTGGTCTCCGCGCAAGCGTCACCTCTGGTTCTGCCAGGGGGTTCTGTTGTCGATTATGCTGCGAAGACCTCGCTGCATGAGCATTTATCTGCACTGAAGGTTAACGGGTTGAAAGACAACGCAGTGGAGGGTGTTGACGCTGTGCATCCGTAGCCTAACGCGTCACCTGCCGAAGGCTCCGATCAAGCATCGGCAGTTCTTGCGGTGGTGATTGAAGGGTGCAAGAAGGAATCGGCTGAGGAAGAATGGTGGGATAGTGACAACGAGGACGACTTTGATCCTGTTGTGATCAATGCGCTGTCGGCCCAGGTCAGCTTCCCGATTACGCTTCTGATTCCTATCGAATGGGAGGCGGAGGTCCCGAAGATAAAAACCACGGTTGTTGCTCACCTCGACTTCTGAAAGACATCGCTGACAGTGGATGCGCAGACAACAACGCAGTACCAGGTTCTGCTGCCAGCATACTGTCAAAGAAGAAGTTTCACCGGTTCACGGTTACCTTTCAGCACGCGCGTGATGCGGAGTTTGTCTGGATGCGGACGATTGAGCATGACATGGGGTGTGAAGATTAGAACGAGGAATGATTGCATTGAGCAGCATGAGGAGTACAAGTACCAAACCCTAAAGTGTTGTACCCCATATGAGCTACCCCACTATAGCCTACACAGACTATAGCATATAAGTTTGACACACCCCCATAGGCAAAGTGGGGGAGAACAAGGGGTCATAAGACCAGTCAAGCAAAGCAAAGCAAGCTCAGGGTGGATCACAACGTCACCACACATTCCGAGCACAAGTTCAAGGCCACAAGGCCAGTTCACATGCAAGATCATATATAAAGGTAAACAAGCAAGTGCAGGTATAGATAGATCACAGTACAAGCAAGGTCAAGAAGTGAGCAAGTGAGGCAAAGTAGGCACAAGACCTAGCAGAGTACAGAAGCGCTGATGATCACAAGGCGCGAGTGCCTTGGTGAAGATATCAGCAGTGTTGGCCTGAGAGGCCACGTAAGCAAGTCGCAGCTGACCACGCTGCTGCAGCTCACGAGCAAGAAAGTAGCGAAGCGCAATGTGCTTCGTTCTGTGCTCCAGTCTGTGCTCCCGACACAAGGCCAGCATGGCCTTGTTGTCTACGTACAGAACTGGAGGAGAACGAGGCGGCTCTCCAAGGTCAGTCAGCAGGTAGGTGAGCCAGCGTAACTCATGTGCAGCCATGGCCCCTGCGTAGATCTCAGCCTCACAGCTCGAGCTGAGAACAGAAGACGAGCGGGTAGACCGCCACGAAACAGAACCGGAACCAAGGCTGAAGGTGTAACCCTGTGACGACCGCTGCGTAGCCAGGTCGTCAACCCACGAAGCGTCTGCGTGACCAGTGAGGACCACTGGACTCCGCCCTCCAAGCACGAGCCCCATGCCCGACGTACTGCACAAGTAGCGCAACACCCTCTTCGCTGCAGCCATGTGCTCAGGTCTGTGTCTCCCAGGAGCAACATAGCGTGCCAGAATGCTAAGAGGGTATGCAAGGTCAGGTCGAGTGCAGGTCATCAGGTACATGAGGCAGCCAACAAGCTCTGGGTACGGGCCACTCGGCTCTACGGACTCATCCGAAGGCAGAGCTGAGAGGGAATGGCGAGTAGACAGAGGAGTGGCCTGAGGCGAGGAGTACGTGAAGCCGAAGCGCTGAAGGACCTGCTGCACCATGTGTGACTGAGTCAGGGTAATGGTGCGCTATGCTCTGTCCCGAGTGATCTGCAAGCCAAGGTAGCTGCGCAGTTCACCCAGGTCTGTACACGTGTGTCTCTTCTGCAGCTCGGACTTCACGTGGGCGAGTCCAGCAGTGTCAGCTGTGGCAAAGACCAAGTCGTCGATGTACACGAGGATGTAGAACGGCGGCAAAGAGGTGTCGGTGCGCAGAAACAACGACGGGTCGGCAGTAGAAGGAGCAAACCCAAGAGCCGCAAGTATAGTCCTCAGTGTGTCGTGCCACTCACGGGGCGCCTGGCGGAGACCGTAGACTGGCCGCCGGAGGCTCCACTGGGTACTAGGAGGAAACGACCCAGTGAAGCCAGGTGGGCGGCGCAGCCAGATCTCCTCGTGCAGGCTGCCCTGCAGGAAAGCAGTGCTGAAGTCAAGAGAGTGAAGCTCGTAGTCGCGCTGAGCGGCTATGTGTAGTAGCACCCGAAGAGTGGTCATCTTCGGGGTGGGAGAGAAGGTCTGAAAGTAGTCAACTCCCTGCCGCTGACTGAAGCCTCGAGCCACGTAACGCGCCTTGAAGACAGGCGGAGAACCCGGCGGCCGCTTCACCCTGAAAATCCACATGCCACTGACGATGTTCGCCCCAGGTGGGGGAACCTCGTCGACGTAGGTGCCTGTGGACTTCCAAGAAGCCATCTCTGCGTCCATGGCTGCCTGCCACTGAGAGGAGTAGGGACCCTCTATCGCCTCTGCGTAAGAACGCGGAGTCGGGATGTCTGGTGCATCCGGGTCTCCCTCAGGGGCAAGCAGCGTGGACACGAGATGAGGTGAAGCAGCAGCAAAACACTGGAACTCCTCCTGCCTGTCCTCAAGGACGTCCGTGCCAAGAGCACACTCACCCCCGACGGACTGAGGACAGACAGACTCAGACTCAGCAACAAGAATAGCAGCGTAGTCTAGACGACAGCGAGCAGCGAAGTCGACAAGCTCAGCAACTAAGGCAGACGCAGCAGTGGACTCAAAGGAAGGGTCAGTGACGACAGTAGCAAGGAGACGTGTGACAGTAGGACTGGCAGCACGAAGGGAGTCTGTCGCCGGGTCAGGAAGAGCAGGAAGAGAAGACTCGGGAGGAGAAGGCAAAGGGGCACGCAGCGGAGCAGTGGAAGGACGCAGAGACATTCGGTGCGTACCGAGGACAGGAGGAGGACGCTGACGCGAACTACGACCACCAGTGCGAGCAGTACGGACCGGCGACGCAGGACGAGACGCAGGCTCACGACGCTCAGCAAGACCTCCAGTAGGACCAGTGTAGGGAGAAGGAGCAGGCAGAGGGGAGGCGGGCTGTAACTGTGGCTCGGACAGGACAGGCGGTGGACACTCTAAGGGAGGAGCAGGACTAGTAGAGGGCGGAAGACTAAGAACCTGCTCAAGGAGCGGAAAGAAGTACGGCCGCGGCCGCGCAGCGCCCCCAGAACCAGTAGGAACAGCACCAGTACCTCCAACGGCAGCACTAGCTCCAGTAGCACCCCCAGCTCCAGTAGTGCCAGCAGCACGAGCCGCGCCACCACCAGCACTCTCAGAAGCACCAGTACCAGCAGCACCTCCAGCGCCAACACCCCCAGCAGCTCCAGCTCCAGTCGGACCATCAGCAGACGCAGCAGCCCCAGCTCCAGCACCTCCAGCAGCACCGACGCTAGCAGCACCGCCAGCTCCAGCAGAAGGAGCACCCTTAGGCCCAGCAGCTCCAGTACCTCCAGTACGAGCACCTCCGGGACCCGTGGCACCAGTACCCTCAGCAGCAATAGAACCTCCAACACCAGCAGCACCTCCAGCTCCAGCAGCACGGCTCCAGCGCCGCGCAAACCACTCGCGCAGCTCCTGGGGAGAGAGGGGCTCCCGCCGAGACGAAGCACTCGACGGACCTCCAGGCCCAGTACCGCCAGACTCCACACGAGCAGGCCCAGTACCCTCAGGCCCCGCACCCCCAGTCTCAGCACCCCCAGGCTCAGCACCCCCAGACTCAGCACCCCCAGGCTCAGCACCCCCAGGCTCAGCACCCCCAGACTCAGCACCCCCAGACTCAGCAC